TAGGCGTTAGCCCAAATATGCTGGTTGGGGCGCTAAAGCTTTCGCAAGCTATAACAGAAACAAAGCCCCCCCCCCCCCCCAAAAAAAAAAAAAAAACTCCTGGCAGGTCGGTAATGGCAACGCTGTCAAGGTGAACGCCGTGCTGAAACTATTAGAGAGTCTTGTTAATTAAAGGGGTAGTGAAACGAAATTTTAGCGCCGATCTTGTTGCATAAATATGGGCTAGGGACAGGCACCACCTCGGAAATATAAATATTGCGCTGTAAAACACAGGAGAACTAATTTTAAACATAATTAAACGATTTCAAATTCTCATCTGGTGGATGGGGGGAAGTTCTCGTGACATCACTTGTGCCAAAATAGCAGCGCCGTTCTGCGGCAATACGGCGTGCCGGCAGAATTCGCCTAGGCCTGAACGCGTTTGCAAAGCCTTGGCGGAGAAAGCCAAAGCGTAGTTGGCCACAGTGAGCTCGTTCTCGTTGCGGCTCTTTGCATGACACGGCCCGAGCATGCTTCTGGCACGGCCGGTATTAGTTGCTGCGTGTCGCGAGCTGCAAGCCGACATTAAAAAGGATATGTTTGAACTACGAGGGTGTCTGCAAGAGCCACGCAAATGCCAAATACCTGTTCACACTCGGAGCGGACACGCGCGTTTGATCGAAGTGCTGGATTCGCTCTGTAAAGCGCGAAACACATGTACGACGAAACCGTCCGATCCGACGTCCGACCGCGCAATACGACGGTCGGAGGCGAGGGGTTTCGTAGCATCGGAGAGCGTTGAAAACCCTCGCCTCCGACCGTCGTATTGCGCGGTCGGACGTCAGATCGGACGGTTTCGTCGTACATGTGTTTCGCGCTTTAGACAGCGTTTCGGTAAGCGCTTCTGGACCGATCTTTTACGATCGCAACTCGATACTGACATGACACTCGACAAAGAAACGTTAGACCGACATCGCGTAGCTCCCACGAACTGCTATAGCTCGACACTGACGTAGCGTCGAGTCAGAATAAAAATGGCATACTAATAACAGTGTACATACCGAGTTGCCAAGGTAATCCGTATGGCGTTTATTTGAGCTCTATATCACACAAAACAAGGAGATAGAATCAATGAGAGTCCCTTTTCGACGACAGCGTTCGTCACCGCTGTCTCGGAAAACAAGGAGATCGAGATGACAAGGGGAAAATATTGACCTCTGAAATTTAGTTCAGGGATCAAACTACTCATCCGGTAAGGGTCCACAAGGGTCGCGCGGGCATATTCCATTCAGCAGGCCAGCCGGTCATGGACAGACGGTCTTGGCCAAGGACCGCCGGAGCAACGGTGCGCAGAGTCGATGTTGCTGCTAGGCCTACTATACTCTGCCGAGCTCGCTCGGTCGGCAGAATCGTGGCTGTTGTATAGCTCTTCTCGTGTGTTTGTGGATCCTGCGTTCCTGATCGTCGTGGTCTGTTTTAAGTACTCCTTCCTTTTTTCTTGCTGGTTGAAGTCGGGACGCATGAGAAGAGCACGAAGAAAAATAAATGTCCGTTGGTGGCCGATACCAAGTAACTGAGCAACGCTGTCGGCCCTGTTGATTTGATCGTAAAAAGTGCGTAAGACAGCTTCGGAGCTGTCGTAGGATTCTGTCGTAACCTGCGGAAAGGTTACGACAATTTCGTTTCGAGAGCACGGGTTTTCTCTCAAATTTGTCGTACGCACTTTTTTCGTCGTGAATTCGCTTTGAGAATCCGGCCTCAGAGCTGGTTTTGTCAGTGCTGCCGTGGTTGCCGACTTGCCGTGGTCCCGTGGTGCAGCGTGCGTGCAGCCCTTGCACATCTCAAACGGCCACGTTGTCACAGGTCGTAAATCGTCGACGCGCCACCAAGTGGCAACGCTCGTAACCACAACATTCACGCCGCAGCCTTTCCCGACCGGCACAAGTGACGTCACGAATGCGCCCAATATCCCAAGACGCATCGCGCTCTCCGATGGCCGATTTTTGAGCGCGCGCCCAATCGGGCCCATCAGGGTGAAAAATATAGCCATCCGTTCAAAATACAAACGCGCGATTATGATTTATGAATATCATTGATCATATTGAACCTATTTCTGACCATAATAGGTGTATTTCAAGTTTCGCTTCAGTATCCCTTTAAAGGGCCCTGCAATCATATTTAAGCGTCCACCTTTTTTGCGGTTTCCACGTCTCTTGGAGTTCGGGCAAGCCAGCGGGCACGGAGAGAATAACTAAATATCAGTGCGTCATATTTTAACCGGACGACGCGGAAACCTCCTCCACCGACGAGGGCGACCCGCGGTACCGAAAGCGCGCAAAATGTGACGTCTTTGGTCCTAGGCTTACTGCTGGTCAGAGCCGCTAAAAGCTTCTTTTTAGTCGAAATACAAAATATAAGTGGCGCGAACCGTTTCAATTATTGATAAAAGTAGCTTTTCTTCAGTATTTTAACAAAAAAAAAAAAAAAGATATACGAATGCAGTTCATAAAGTACGGAAACAAGAAATGACCCGTCGACATACCCGCCACCAAGCGGTGGAAAAAGCGCCGCATACTAGAAAGGAATAGTGGGATCAGGCGCCGACACGGAAAGGTCCCGGATGTACGCGGCGGCGCTGCGGTCGTATGCCGGCTCGAGGATCCGACCGGTTCCGAGCGTTCCCAAGGCTTTCGGCGCGGGCTTGGCTGGCGATTTAGCCCTTTGGCGGTATGGCAGCGCGAAATGGCTCCCGTTCTGAACTGATATTTACCCCGTGTTTGCTGTCATTTGTGGCCAATGAAGTGTCATGCCGAATTAGTATTTAATCCCGCAGCAAATGCAATGAGAGCCGCTCTGGCTGCCCGCTGCATACAGCCTATCCAGAACACGCTTCACTGGCTAAATTTTTCATCTACAGCGAGTGACTCGTCGCAACTTTGAAATGGCTGACCAACTAAACGCTGTCTAAATATCCACACAACCCCAATTAGATCACAATAGGGAGTTTTCGTACACCGCGTTGCCCCCTCCGCTAAGCGTTCCGCAACGAAGAAGTTGCTACTGCGCCTGCGCGCCGATAGCCTTGACTGTGGAGTTCCCGCTATCGTAGCGGGTTGCGGAGGGCCTTGCGGGACGGCGAAAACGATCTACGAAAACTCCCTAATATAGCTCCTACGGAGCAGAGTAACGCAATCCTTTGATCGGCGTGTTTTGCCGACAACATGGCCGACAGAGCAGCTCGGTGCGAGTCACGTGGTACTCGGGGTTCCAGGAGGCGCCCCGCCCTATGGGAGAACACATGGAGATTGACGTAATACGGCTGATTAAAAAATAAACGCCGAGTTCACAGTTTTCGAAACTAGTCTGCGGGGAAGTTGGTAAAGCACTAAACACTTTATCAAAGTTCTCATTATATTGGATGCATGTAAATATTTTAGAAGGCAATTTCCAAGGCAATGGCGTTTAAAGCAGACGATTTTTCTACGCACCGAAGATGGACCTTTTGAGTTGGCTGAAGCGGGTCACGTGAACGTTGTGACGTCGCCTCGTCGTCTGCTGCATGATGCTGCTCAGGCAATTTTTTAAAGAAAACTTACGTTTTTACGTGCCGCACAACTTCGCTCAAATTATCGTAAACGGCTCCTTTATTATGTCAAAAACTATTGTTCCGTAATATTGAAGAAACAGCGATTTTCTCACGTCTCCCATGCATTTGGGACCGGAGTTATAACCTTCGGGCGTTTGCCGCTAGTCGCCGAGAAATGGCGTTCTAGATTGCGCGACTCTGCTCCGAAGGAGCTATATAAGGAGTATTCACTGGCCGCCCTATTTGTGGGTGCTGTCTAGAGCGCATGCTCAGAACGAGCCCACATTAATAGGCTGCTAAGACCGGCAATCTTGAGGGTGCGGAATGCACGTTACAAAAGAACTGTGGAAGCTTGCCATCAGCACGCACTCAGCAGTCGCGCACACAGCTATGGCCGCCAGTGAACACTTCCTATAGTGCTCTAGTTGCAACCACACCCGCCATCCCGCTAGCTTACGGCGACCGGAAATGATCCTTCCAATTCTGCAGACAAAGCTAGCGGTGCGCATGCTCAGTAGCAGCGTCTACCTCCGCTACGAGATCAAAAAGACAACGCCCATTCGGCGTTTTTTTTTTTATCTTTTTGACATATTTTTATATGTATTGCACGTTTTTCTATAATGGTTCTAGTGACCGGCCACACAAAAAATTGTCATCTTTTAAACCCTGAGATGGGGAACGATAAAAAAACGTTCCCCATCTCAGGGTCTACAAGATCGATTCATTACCAGCTCGCCTGCACTCTATCACTGCTTAACAAACCGTGTTATCTTCGCTTTTATTCTTTTCTTTAGAATGTGTTCTATATTGTTGAAATTGCTATCTTTATGCTGCTGAATTGCCTGCTCACATTGCTCCATTTTCTGTATTATATTCATATTTTTTTTAACTAACGAGAGTTGAAGTAATCCGTTACCAATATTTGTAACGAAATTATATTACACATTACTGCCACAAAAAAGTAACGCGGCAATTACAAAATTACTTGGAATATAGTAACGGATTACTTTCCAAGTCTGGTTGCAACGTCAAATTCGACTTTATGTAAAAAAAAAAAAGCGCAGTGGAAGGAAGGAGTTGTTGCGTTTCTAAACCAACAGCGTCGAAGTTGACAGCCTGGCAATGCTCTTATGCCGGTGGTTTGGCCAACCGTATAAAGTCGACTATCACGACCCTTTAGGGCGGTGTGTATGGTCTTTTCTTTGTGTGTATGCTTGTTCCAGTTCAGCTGGCCTTACCTGAAGTGTGAACCAACTAGCTCAGCCTAAGCCTTTCGATCGCGCACGTGTTCCATAGTCTTCGCGCCGCCCGCGCAGACCTGCGTCGGCGGGGGAGCACGGTGACTTTCAGCATAAGCACCCAGCTCCTGGTGCGGCGCCTGGGCCGCCTGGTGCAGCAGTGGCTCACGCGCTACTGGATCTGGGTGGTGGCCAGCATGCTCATGTTCATCTCGCTCGGGGGCGAGCAGGTGGTGCTGTACCGCATCGTCTACATGCTCCTCTTCCTCTTCTTCGTCACAGTCTTCCAGGTAAAGCAGCGCAAAATCACCTCGACCGCTCGGCGTCAATCTTGGTTCATCTTGGTGCAAGTTGTTTAGCGACTGTGTGAGGTTATCAAAGCTTACCCCTTACTTACGAATTATAAATATTTCTATAATATATGGTGTATTTTATTTGACAAATCATATAAGAAGTAGTTCCGCTTTCGATTACGTAGGCGTTTTCTTTTCACACACGTAGCCTGGTACCGCGAGCTTGCACAACTCCCGAATGTATGATATACACACGGTTCAATAACTAAGGAGGCTTTATTATAATGTCGCGTAAGTCGAAACGTAGAGCTTCTTAAAATTATAAGAGTCTAAAGGAGGTGAGTATAGACAGCTTTATTATGGATAGTGCCGTCTAGCGAGCGTCAGGTGCCGCGGCCATGCTGAGTGGTTACTAAATGTTATCGAAAGTGGTCTTCGGGCCACCACTCCCGCGTTGGGTGTGCTATTTGGGTGCTCTAAAGTGCTGGGTACCCCACTTAGGGAACGTCTTGTGCTCTTGTGCTCCGCGGATGGCGTTTTTTAACTCCTTGGGACCGCTTCTTGCCCCGCATTATGGCATCCGCCAGTGCGGCGATGCAGAGAATTGCGGCATTGAATGCGCCACTGATAGAAATCGGAGGCAAGTACTCAAGCAATTGTATCAGTTAACAGCGGTTGAATTTCCCTTCAGGTTTTTTGTCGTTTTAGATGCGTACACCTAGAATATCTTTGGCGTTTCGTGTCGTCCACAACTAAAAGCTCGAATGGAAACGAGGACGCGCGATGTAAGAGCGTCGCAGGAAACGATCAAAGGTAGCTAGCTCCCTCCGGCTTCAAGAAAGTTTCCTTTGTGGATCCCACGTCAACTAGCGTGTCATTTGTCGAGGACCAAAAACAGGAAAACCGAGATGGGCCCATTGCCCGGCACGATTCGATCATTGCTTCAACGATTCGACATCGATGCATGAGCATGTTTCAGCAATAAAAGTTGAACTTTTATGTCCAGCTACGTTATGCACTAATTTTCAATATAAGAAGAATCCAGTCGCGTTGTGACTGTCAACATACTTTCACGGCTCTCTCGTATCGCCCGGGAGATCGCGATTGAGGAAAACCGATAGAAATAACTTTTCGAGAATTTCCAGCCACTTTTAGAGGCGGAAATGATCTTTCAACTAAGCGTTGTAGATGATAAGATTAAGTTAATGTCACCACTGCAAAATATTAGCAGTAAGATAAATTAAGTTATGAAAAGTTACAAGCTGAAGCAGCAATTCTCACGGGAAAACTTAAACGCACCTTGCGAGCGCACCTCATGTTCATCAACGGTACAGCGTTACGTTCGCTGCGCGCTACATTTACAAAATGTTCCGAGAACACTCGAGAAGATGGCGTTGGAAAAAAGTGTTTTTGATTTACGGATGCAACCCGCCGCCGCCGGAGGTCTTGGTTATTTGAAAAGCGATGAAGTTTGAAGACTACGGAGCCGCAGTTTGCGTGTCGGATCCCGTGCGTAATACAGATGTCCTCCGATAATATTCTGCACTTTCGGTTCTTATTCGTGCAGCTTATAACCGAACAATGGGGTCCCGAACATTAGGGGATTGTCGTCATTGAATGCGCTAGCCCAACTTGAATCTGGAAGTAAAGAAATCAAGAAAACAGCGAAGGGAAAACAAGTGAAATTGGAGCAACACACGCGCCCAGTGCGTTCGTCTGTGTCTTCCAATCGTTCCTAACTAACCAGCGAGGGGGAAGGCACCGGTAGCATTTTCCCCTTTTTTTCTTTTGCCCTCTTTCAGTAGATGTGACATCATACTGCTGCGGTGGCGCCACAGTCTGCGCAGCGCATGCGCAGACATACACTTCTCGCGAATCTAGTTTCTGCGCGCTAGCAGTGCATGCACACTTAGAGTGGGAAAAAGTGGAGATGTTTGTAAACCGCGCGTGGGCCTATGATTTAAAAGAACGAAAAGTATCCCCGCTCGACATTCATTAAAAAAATATGTATTATCCGGAAAGTGTATGACTAATAACTCCTCCCCTCCCTCGTTTTTGTTTATTTCTTCTTTTTTTTTTTTTACTTTCCGTCTTTTTTGAGTTTTGTTTGAACACGAGAGCGTGCATATACACACATACAAACACTTTCTTTTTATCAATATGCACTCGGCTGTTTGAGGTGCATAATATGTATTACTCGTGCAGGTTTCGTACCAGCTGTGGATCAAGGTGATGTACGGCTTCTGGCTGACCGTCATCATCTATTCGATGCTGGTGCTCATTCTCATCTACTCGTACCAATTCGAGCACTTCCCCGAATATTGGGAGCATCACCTGAGGATCCCTGTAGGATTGTAAGCTTCTGCTTGATACTACTCGTCACTGTAAGGTTTTGCGGCAAGTGTTTTAAAACAGTGGCGTACAGAATCGATATGATTTAAGCTTTAAGGTTTGAAAGTGCACTGAGGTGCGTGGCTGGAAGGCCCAGAACCGGACGTCAGCGCCCACTGTGTTCCTCAAAACACGAAATTCTGCATACAACGGTTTGATCGATAGATCTAAACACAACCGCACTTTTTACACAGAATATGTTTATACGTTCATCTCTATCAGAAACCATTACTTTACAGGGTCATATTGCAGCGTCAGACTCCAGCATTACATTTTAAAGAATTGACCCAAGGGCTCATTGAGACCATATCTTGTTATAGCCAATGCGAGCGCAAGTTCGCCTGCTTCTTGTACGAGACCTGCGATGATGACAGAACGCCGAACTCTGATTGGCTGATTAAAAAATATAGTGGGTAGACCTCGAGGCATCTAGCATTGAGGTCTGCCCACTATCCTTTCAGTCAAAGCAAAGCAGAGCTCGGCGTCGTTTTGACGCTACCACAACTGCTGAGCAAGAAGCAGACGACTTGTTTTCCGCGTAGCCCATGGGGCCCATAGGGACGTCACGGTGTCACTTGACATCCTGACGTCGCGTGACGTCACGAGGTCACGTGCCCTGTGAGGTCACGTGATGCCATAGCGTTGCGTGACGTCGGAGTCACGTGACTTCCTGAAGGCATGTTACACCAAAAACAGCGTGCACCCAGCATATCTGCAACACATGGTGTGTCTCTCGGAGCTTATTAGATATAATCAAGACATGCAAATTTTTTTACGTTTAGTTTGTACTTACCAAGTTTCAGGGTTTCTCGTGTTCTAAATCTTAAAAGCTACCACGAGTCTTCTAAGTGTCGGGCAGGGCGTAAAAAGGAAACAAAACAAAACAACGAAGCAACAACTATTTGGAAGAAACAAATAATGGCATAACAAACAACTTCTCTGGAAGGGCACCAAAGGAGTTTCGCCGTCGCGTAAAAGATAATGTCGTGTCTGTTGATTTTTTCTTATTTCTTTCACAAATACGCATATCAGATTTTGCATTATATCAGCAAATCTACGAGATAGTTTATATCAATGCGCGTTTCGCACTGACCTTTGACATCTTTAAAAAATACTTAGTTCGAGATGGTAACTCTGATGGGAGAGCCTAATTGTTCCTTCTGCACCTGCAGTCAAAAAGACATTGGTCTGGAGGTGTACCAGGCAGACCCGGGCACGCTTTTCCTCAAGCTGCTAACGCCAACCTTCTTCCTGATTATCACCATCATCCAGCTACACTACTTTCACAATGAATTTATCAAGCTCAATGAAGACAACTTCACTTACTCGTGAGATGTTCTTATTTTATTCAATATTTATACACTGCTGCAGCTCATAAAAACCTTCACCCGTTAAAGGGCAACTCCGGCCAAAACTCAAAATGAATTAAATTACTGGTATCGCTTTAGTGACACAAAATACGACCCCAGCCAAAATTTCACGTCCGTGGGACGCCACATTCTCAACTAATGCCGATAATAAAAATGCGACCCGCCGCGAGCCGCTGCTCCTTAGCGGGCGGCCAGCGGGTTGCCGATGGCTAAAGCAACATTGGGCCGTGATGTCAACATCGTCCCCTTTTTTTTCCTCCGTTCCGGACGGGAGCACGGCGCAGCCGTCGCGCGCGCTTCTTTGTGCCGCTACCACCGCTACTTCGGCTTGTAATTGCGTGTTTAGCCGTTGCTTTTACCTGTAGCCCGTGTAGCTTCGGTATAGCCTTTTGTTTATTTGCTTGTGAGGTCTCCTAGACTCGTTTTAGCGAGCAACTCGGTGCGCCCAAGACTGCCCAGCTGTTCCTCGAAAGATGCCGAGTACAACTTAAAGCGCTGTGGGCTGCTCAAACAAGCCGCTGCGCAACCCAAAGGTGCTTTTTCACAAGTTTCCAATGGATCGGAAATTGGAGAAGGTGTGAGTGAACGCTGTTCGACGAGTGGACTTTGGGAAGCCTTGGACGTCGACCCCCAGATCGAAGCTCTGCTCCGATCATTTTTCGCCGGAGAGTTACGAACGAAACCTACGGTGTTGGTTGCTTGTGGCTTGTCAGGGAAGGGGTCGAGGCTTAAAAAGGATGCCGTGCCGTCGCTCTTTGCCCATCATACATGTACAGAAAAGGTAAACATGATAAAAGTATCCTGATCAATAAATAAAACAGTCATCGTCAAGTGCAGTGTTGAAGATTGAGCATTCATGCTCCATTGAATGTCTGTTGAATGGGGAATGGTGGGCATGTAGAGTACAACCACTAACTAGCTCCAAACACTGAAGTTTGTAATGAAAACGAAAACAATGTTCTGCTTTGCGTCACTGCTTGTTTACTACGCAATCTCGTGCGTAGTATTCAGGTCCGTAACGACTACTAGCGAACAGCCGGCGCGTGAAGCTCATGCGATATAAACATTCGCCTCCCAATCGTTCCAACCCGTTACGCGGCAGTATTAATTAACATTGCGCTTGTGAATACCACAAGGGACTTTAAAGAAATCGCGAAAGTTCGGATTTGTAAGTTACAACTCTCTAATTTGCCCGAGTTCGGCTGAAGGTAAAAATAATATTTAAAAATGCAAAAAAATAAAAATAAAAACACTTGCCTTAGTCAAAAGTTACGAAGGAAAACTTAAAATCCTATGTATTCTAATAAAAAAAAAATGTTGTGGGTGGGGTTGGGAATGCGGAAGGGAAAGAAAGTGTTCTCACCTTGCTAACGTTCTCTGTTTTCCTTTATGACCCAAAAAAACTTTTGCTAGCTTTGAGAAGAAAATGACTGCCCAAAGAACTTTTTTTTTTTAGAGCGGAAAGTTTTTTTTTTTTACTTGTACAAAGATTCACTACCTGGACGAACTTATGTGGTGAATTAGTGTCGTAGCTTACAAATTCGGCTTTTACGCGGCTGAGGAAAAAATAACGAAAAAACAGACGTCTACAGCTTGACACACGTCTGTTCGGTTGTTGCGGAACGCGCCGGAGAGCCTCAAAGCTTCGTGTCTGGGACTGACCCGCCGCGCGAAAGCGCCAGCACTGTACGTCACTGGCAGCGCGGCGTAGAGCAACGCCGCTCCATCCACGGAGCCCCGATGACAATTTAGGCCTAGCGACGAGTGCGGGAGACCACACGCACGCCGACAGCTGCCGAGTACGGTACCGAACGAGTTCACTCGTTTTCCAGTCGCTAGCTTTTGGGTATACAAGCAACGAGTACGGCACGGCATAGCGCACGCGCGGCGGCGGCCGCCGAGTACGCCACCGAACGAGTTGACGGGTTTTCCAGTCGCTAGCTTTTGGGTATACGCACTAACACTTGCTACATATGCTGGATAACTACCACATATACAGAGTTAAAACAAAATCAGTTTGCCTTCTATCTTTAGACGACTAGCGCAACAGAGGTAGGTGCCGCTTGGACTGCGTACTCGCTGAACGAGGACGATCTTGGCGTCACGTCCACATAGCGGCTGATTTCCAGTGTTGCCGGAACCTCCAGCGGCTAGTTTCGGTTTTGTCGGCCGCGCCCCAAACAAAACTTTGAGACGTCGATATCTTTAAAACTACGCACAATAACGAGAAAAAAATTACACCTTGCAACTCGGGGCGCTAACTGCACTAAAAACAGTCATAATCCCAAAATCGAAAGTATGGACCGGAGTTGCCCTTTAAGCATCTGAAGTTGGGGGCACGCTTGAGGAAGAAAGAAAACATTGATTCGAGCCGCCCATGTCCGGGCAGTGGTTACTAGAGGGTGAGGCCTGCGGGGGCCTTGGCGGGCCATGTCGGAACTTGGGGGTGTTGTCGAAGTCAAGGGGTCCCGCACATGGGAGACCTCCGCCACGCCCTCTAGAGTACATGGCGGAGGTCCGAGGGGTGAGTGGCCCAGCTCTCCCTGGTAAAGGTAATGTGGGGACAGAGGAAATGCGGAAGGAGCAAGTGGGAAGATTGTTGGGTTCAAGGACAAGACCCGTAGGTGTAGCTGGTTTCGGGATAGGCGCCACAGATCTGACATTGGAGGTTCCGCGGTGGTTTATAATATAGTGGGTTATGAAGTGGCACGGCAGAGAGAATGTTTGCGCCTGGCGAACGTATACCCTCGCGGCGTGTGAAGTTAGGGGTGGGAGGGGGAAGGGTGCGGCGGGAAAAGGCGGTGGTCCTTCAGGCGCCGTCGTTGAGCTTTGCGCTGAGCGGCACGTTTCTCTTTCGGGTTGTAGACCGGAGGCCAGGATTCAGGGCTGCACGGAGTCTTATTTGCGCGAGCAAGGGCGTAGACCCTATCGTTCCTTGCGACTCCTTGGTGTCCGGGCACCCACTCAAGAAAGACCTGAAGAGGGGGGTGTACGTTTATATAGGATGTCAGGTCGTGTTTGATGTGTGCCAGTACGGAGTTGGTTGAGAAGTCTCTGAAGGCTCCTTGACTATCTGAGCGGATAGTAATGAAATCGGTGGAGTTGGGTTGTAAGAGGATGGCTTCTGCTATGGACTGTGCCTCTGCCGTTGTATGGGAGGGTACATGAGCATGGTGTCGGACTGTCTCTCTTTTGGGGCCCAGTGTGCAGGTGATAGAGATAACGTCGGTGAAGGCGGCGTCCGTGTAATAGATATCGTGCGGTGCTGTGGAAAGATGAAGGGCTTTGCTTTAGCGTCTTCCGAGATCCACGATCGGATTCTAATGTCGGGGGATGGGCTTGACTGCAATGCGAGGAATCGTATCCCACGGTGGCAGTAATGTGGGAAGAAGAGAGCTATGAGCAGTTGGGTATCGAGCTAAGGCGACGCCGGACGAGGCGGAAAGTGGCTCACCGCTCGGTCAATACCGGGCAGAGGGGCGGGCTTCAAACTCTATTGGCGCTGAAGACGTTTACTGACCTCCAAGAAAAAGGGTGAGCAGGTTCCGAGGCTGAGAACTGGGCAATATCGCAGTTAGTGATAGGAGCTCGATGTAAGCACTTCGGAACGCACCGGTACTTCACAGTTTTTTTTTTAATTGTCTTTGATTTACTTAAAATTTTGCTAAACTCACAAACAAACATTGCTAAAATAGTATCCCAAATGTTAGGTCAAAATATTGTTTTTTCGCGAAGTTATTGAATTTACAGTTTCAGTCCTCACCGTGTTTTTAGAACTGGAAGTCTCTAGTGGCAACAACGAAAAAGTGACGTCAGTGGAAGGCAGGGGTTCACTCTTTGGACTGTAGGATTAGTTCCCAACTGATTCTAAGCAGTTTCATGGTGTCAAATGAATGCCTTGGAAGCTCGCTCCAGTAACCGGCGTTCCAGCACGGAACAAATGATTGGCATATTCTATTTTTTAGACTGGTTGCTCGACTGGCAAGCCTGCCTACCACTGACGTCACGGCACTGAAAAGTTTTGGTATTTTTTAATCTTGACTTTTTTAATCATTTTAATTTGCCGATTTCACACTAACTATTATGAATTTCGCGATACTAAATAGCATACCGGAAAGGGTAAAGGCCGGGGAGTCAGAAAATATAGTTAGTTGAGGTAGCTAAAAAAACCTGTGGAGTATTAACTTTGAGGAAGAGAGGTGTCTGGACAAGGCCAGCTGAGGTGGCAAAGGTTTGCTCGGACTTTGCGCATCTCCTGTCGGTTTCAGAGCCTTCGCACGGGCGTGGGTGCACGTCGCGCGGCCTTTAAACGTGTGCGCGAATAAGGAAGGCTCCTCAAGTGACCCTCATGGGCTCCATTAAAATTACCTTAGACAAACTTTGCCACGCTTGCTCCATAGCGAGGCAACGCTGTTCAGACGCATCTCTCTTTTAGAGCGCAGCTCTTAGGGGCCCGTTTCCGGCTTGAGCGGCGTCGCCGTCGGCGTCGGCGTCGGCGTAACCGCGCGGTGCATCATGGGAAATGTCCCATAATGCACCGCGCGAGCCCCCCACCGGGGTCACGTGACCTCGTGGGGGTCACGTGACCCCCCCGAGGTCACGTGACCCCGGTGCATCATGGGAAATGTCCCATAATGCACCGCGCGAGCCCCCCACCGGGGTCACGTGACCTCGTGGGGGGCACGTGACCCCCCGAGGTTACGTGACCCCCCGAAGTCACGTGACTCCCCTGAGGTCACGTGACCCCCTCCTCGAGGTCACGTGACCCCCCGAGGTCACGTGACCCCCGCCGATGTCGCGTGACCCCCCGATGACGTCATCCTCAGTGATGACGTCACCGGCATCCACATCGTCATCGTCATCATCACTGATGACGTCACCGGCATCCACATCGTCATCGTCATCATCACTGATGACGTCACCGGCATCCACATCGTCATCGTCATCATCACTGATGA